GGGGCCCCATGGGGGAGGCCCAGCGCTGGTGAAATAGTGCTTCTCCAGCCTGAGCTGAATTCAGCCACTTGGCTCTGTTTATTTAATATTCAGTCAGCTGTGGGGAGTGGGGTTAGCCACAGCTTATAAAACTCAGTCAGCATGACCAAGATATAACCCCCTCCCCATCATTATTCAACAACTACACATGCACGCATGCACATACTTACACATAACACACGCATGAGCACACACCCTGTACCGTTACACTTTCTCCTACAGGTTATATCATCCAAGGTATGACTACACCAATGAAGTCTCTCTTAGTTTTATGCATGAAGCAGCTTTAATGCAATAATAATACAAATGATACCTTTTAATTTTATAGTGCTGTTTAAAATAAAGTTGAGAGGCAAATTTAATCAGAGAAACAGCTCAAGACTTTGTGAGTCATCACAGCAATCACCTTTAGTTTAAATTTCATCTAAAAGTTCTCCGTGTCCAATGTGATGAGTAGAAACAAGGAGGGCAAAAGTTACATGCAAGCTTTTCATTTTGTCCTTATGTAAACTATAATAACTTTCCTTCCTACACATCAAAGGTGAACTCAAGCATGTAATGAGCTTAACTTTTTGAGTGGTATTAAGACGATTTAAACAAAGCAGGAAACAAGAGAGAACGGCTCATGCACTCCAAAAAGTGAGTTCAGACGATCGTGAAGCGGTCGAATGTGGATTTGAGCACGAGAGAGGCGGGGGGTGGGACCTTCATAATTCTCACAGCAGTCAATATTCACCCTACCCTGCTGGGGGCAATACCAGCATGCTTCATCTATGCATCGACTGGAAGGCTCCATGGCAACTCCCGGGGTCAGGGGTCACACAGAAAGGTTGCTTTTATCCGCTAATGAGGTCGGTACCTGGGGCTCCACGTCTCCCCGCTTCTGTCTCTCTGCCTCTCCTCTGTGTAGTGAAAGGCGGGGGGTTCGGCAGTTATGAATGCCTACCAAGTGACACCAATGCCATCTTCACTCGTCTTCGTCCTGACCTCTGAGGCGTGCACTTTGAGCCTGGTATGGGGCAGGAGGGGCTACTTGTATTAGGTACTGCCCCATAGGGAAGATAACAAACGGCTCCAAAATTGCTGTCCCCCAGTCTGGCTCCTCATTGTGAAATAAGTGTTCACATGCAAATTGACAATCGCCCCACAAGCCCTGTGGACGGTCCTGCCCCGTACCTTCACTTTAGTTTGATTGATTGCCTTTACACCAACATGGTTTGTGTAGGTAGGTGCTTAGTGTTAAAGTGCCCCGTGATTGATGTTATGTTGTTTTGTGTCTTACACACTAATCGGCTGTGGCGAAAGAGTAGTACCGAAAAGTCAAACAAACCATACGATTAACATTTGTCTTTTTAATGATTTACTGAAAGCACCGAGTCGACATGTTGTCTGACTTATAAACTGCTTGAAACAAGGAAGTGTTGAATGAGACACGAAGCTTCCTATTGGACAAGCTGCTAATGCCCCAGGAAAACACACTTCCACTACCTTCACTATATCACACAAGGCTCATTGGCCCATGTGCCCCTTCAATGGGGCAAACAGGCACCCTCACAGCCTCTGTCCCTCTTCCACACCCCCTTACTCTCACACACACGCCCCCTGTCATGTTCACAGGACTGAGAAAGGAGTCCATTAACTCTGATTTAGTGGCAGTGTCATGCGGTCCCCTTTTGTAAGGTGGTGACATTCGGTGAATAGGAATCAGAATTTCCCCACCACCACCACCACCACCCCTCCTCCCTTCCTCCAACTTTTCTCCTCCTGGCTCCATGCGCAGGGTATGCGGAGGAGTTTGTGTGGCTCTGGTGGGAGTGTGAGGGGTTCAGCGTTGCAACTTTCGGGGGGTGGGGACATGGATTGAGAGGGTTTTGCTGCCACATGTCTCTGAGTGGCGGCCTCTTTGTGCCTGGGCCAGCCTGTTTGTTTAGCCTTTCCTCGGAGAGCTGCCTCACACATTGGTGCCTCGTACGGATGAAAAAAGAGACAGGTTCAAACTTTGAGAGGAAAGGAGTTGTTGTGTTGCGTTTGTTTTAAATAAACCCAGCTTCTAATATTCCTGTCAGTTGTGGCACACCATGGACGTCTTTTAGCTGTACCACCTAAAAGACGCCCATCAAATAAGACACAGAGAAAGGAAGTCTCAGAAAAAAATCCAGAAAATAGGATAACTTATCTTATAAAAATCAAAGTTAAAGAACAAAATACTGTCTACATTATAATATAGAGTTATTCGTTAAACATAGGAGCTCGTGATAACTGACAAAAAAGCAAAAGAAAAGAAAATCTGGACATCAGAACTGCATCATCTGGCCTCATAACCTTTCCGAAGAAATGTTATTTCTTGGGGAGGATTGTTGAGAAATCAAACCATCAGTTTCTTTGGCAACAGAGATAAAACAAAATGATTAAAGACAGGTGATACAGTGCATGCTGGAAGTTTTTTCAGTGTCATTAAAAAAAATAAAAAGATTTATTATGTAATATTTAATGCTGCAGACAGCAACATCTGGAATAATCCTATAACTTTGTGAGATTTTTACCTCACAAATAACCCTTGGTCAGATCTTTTCTTTCAAATGCAGAAAACCTTTTTTGTTTTCAATTTATTACGCAACTAAAACCTTACAGTCATACTTATTCAGATGATGCTCAAGTGGTATAAGTACATGCAATTTAATGTGAAATAATGAAAACGTTATTGAAAGGCCTCACATCTGTTACTAACTGGTATCAAAAGCTGGTGGTGTGCACTGCCCCCGTAAAGTCCCTTCCCTTTCTGACTCTCCGCTCCCTGCAGCCAGTGGTGTCATCCGTGTCAGCACTGCAGGTGAGCTACATTTAAAAAAAAACAAGAGGCCAGAGAGGTCAGCCTTCATTATTCTACCCTGCTCGCTTGGGAAAACAAAATAAGAAAATATTTACACAAACAGGAAGCTGTGCATTTCCTAATGATTGGAAACATGTTGAGCGTGACGTTTGTTCCCTCCCTCCCGGCTATTGGTGCCGCCCTCTCACTCAGCACGCACATATACACCCCTTCATGCACATATATAGGCTACAAGTGCACTGAACTGGATGGTATGTAGTATGAGAACAGGCTGGCATTATACTGGCACGAAAGATTTGAGAAAGATTTTAGGAGTTAAGCTTTCTTTGACATTAAACTCCGGATGGTGGAATGTTTCAACCCAAACTAAGAGCCCATTAATGCTGTTGAGTTTAGGCTTCCCTCCAGCCATGTTAGATCAGCCATAATAAGTTGTGAGTTTATGGACCTTTGCTCCCCAAATGTCTACCATGTTGCTAATTGCGTACATCTGTGGCTCTCGTTTTGATGTTTTGTCACAATGTGCAGCTGTCCATTCTATTTCCAACAAACTCTGATTAAAAGTGGCACGGCCCTCCTGTTATCTGTGTTCAGCCCTAATAAGAGCCATGCAACAGCTTTTGTGTTTTAGAACAAACTCTGAAATTCAACTTAGAAGCTCATTTTTAAGAAAAATACGCCTCAAACCACCAATGATTCATTTTATTGACTGTAACATACCTAAGAGTTATTTGCCAAGATTATTGTTTGTTCATAGTTGCCATAACTAAACAGTACTTGAAAAGGAAACACATCTTTTTGAAATTGCCTAGTATCTTGTATATATAAAATATTTAATTTGCTGATGTCACAGATGTGTCAAATTAGAGAAATCAAAATACACAGAATATATGGACTATAATTCTGATTTCCAGCTTCATATTTTTATTCTTGGACATTATTAAAGTAGCTTTGATAGAGTCACAGTTAAAATAATCCTTATTTCTTATTTATACTCTGCCATGGTGCAGCTCCACAGCCTGTACACTCTCTAAAACAAGGCCACGATCACTTCAGGCCTACTTCTTATGGCCGTATCAGGGATACTTTTATTTATTATTGAGTCCTAAAACCTGAAAGCAACTGTTTCTGTCCAGTTTCTAACATAGAACCTATCTAAAAAGAATGAAATGATATACCGGATTTAAAAATGTTTATGATGTCAAGTCAGATTAAAAATTAAAATTTAATCTAATCACATACTAAGATGATTGATGCATTCATGTGTTCAAAAAAATGACTTAAGAACTGCTTGTTTGCACACACGTTATGTATGATATGTTACAGAGTGATGTCACGGCTGCACTCTTCAGATGTAGGTCTACATAAATTACCAAGGATGTCACTGCCGTTATTATAAAAGCTTAACAAGACCCCAACCAGACACACCCGCACACACAACCATTTTAAATCTTAATGGAAACTTAATGTGGATTTTAAACAGTTTAATTAACTGTGATCTTAAGAAAGTTTCTTGACAAGGTCTTGAGTTTGTTGATATCAGATAGCAGTTGCTTATACTACGGCATGGTGTCATCAGCGGGGGGATCAGCACAAATGCGTGCTATGTGTACGCCAGTGAAACCTGATCTTGAGTAATTGTCAGGACAAGGCGAGGGATTGACCTCTGCCATGAACCATATTTTCTGAAACAACACATACTTGAGCTGGCTTTGAAATAGCCTCTGCTACAGGACCAGAGTAGCCTCTGAGGAAGCCAGCCATCAACTTTTTAGTGTAACTAAACAAAGCCTGTGGTAATTTCATTCGCTCACTATTGCATTTTCAGCAAGCAGATATCTGATGCCATCTGCTCTCCCAGATGCCATCCCTCTGATGGCCTTGGCATCACACGCCAGCAATGTGAGGTATGAGTTTATCTGGACACAGCCAGGATGTGCCCCACTATTTTGTATTGAAGCTCTGTTTCTCACCCTTTTAATTTATTTATTAAATCACCTAATAAAACATCTTTTGACTGTTGGACCTCAAAGCAGATGTGGTCATTGTTATTGTAACCAAGCATCCAAGACAGTTATGTTCTGTGTTTCCATTACTGATTAGTGGAAAATGTTACATACAAACTCATGAGGCATGTCATAACGATTTATTTTTTAAATTCAAACTCTTGTGTCTTTGAAGTCCAAACAACCAGACACGCATCTCTCCTTCCACAGGCTTTACATCTCTCTACAACGAAGTTCACACACACACTGTGTTTGTATCTTGGTGTTGTGACAGCTCAAATCCTGCAGTGTTCAGTTCACATTCCTTTCATCCCAAATCCCCCAGGGGTCGGCTCCACCACTCCCAATCACAGTGTGAGAAAATCAGACAGATGCATGATCTGGCAGATGGTAGGAAAGTCCATGGTCAAAATGACATCTATGTCACACATGCTGTACAGAGTCCATGCAACAGGCGCTTAACTGCGGCCATGAATGAACAGGTTTCTATCAGAAGTCCTGCACGTTTCAGCCTGAAACGTTAGGAATCTGGCTGAGAAAACCATCGCCTTTGGTGTAGCGTTGCAGAGTGACTGAATTTGGATCAAAGATCTTTTAAAAATGGTCTAGAGGGCCGCTCAGTTTTTAGTAACAAAAATACTTGCCATATTGGCCTCCTCTCCCATAGGTTATTTTTTTTAACCGGAAACCTTCAATAAAAATATACTTCTTAAATTCAAAGAGATGTACAGGATAAGACTTCAATACAACTTTCAAAATCACATTTCAAGCACAAAGAGAACAGCTGGTGACCTTATCCAGTGAATTATAATAACAGAAAACACCTGAAATATTGGCCCAAATTCAAATTTTCAAAACTATTGTTGACTGACTTAAGTTTATGTTTGAACAAATGCACCCAATACTTTTATTTTGTTGACAGCAGGGAAATGGTTCACACTGGGCTCAGTCAACCTGAGATCAGTGTACATGTCCACATCGTACCTGTTTATTCTCGAAGTAACTGATGAAAGTGTGCCCCCTAGTGTTTGAAATGTGCTTTACAGTGAAAATCTGTTCTTGCCTGCTCTTAAATCCAAGAGGTAGAAAAGATAAAGCAGCTAAGTTAAAGTACACATACAAGTCAAAGCAATGCAATGACAAAGAGCAATAAATAATACAATTTTAGGCAACCAGCAAATGTTCAACATTTGAATATTCTTTCCCTAGCTCACTACCACATCATCTGCGTTTAAATACGTTTTTAACAAATCACTTCTTCCTTCCAGATATGCGCAGACGTCGTCCGATTGTGGAAGAGAAATGTAGCGCCGACCTCTTGCGCAGTGAGAAAGTATTGTCTGTTTTTGTGACTGTACCTGTATCCACCGAGGAAGCAGACGTGGAGGAAGAGGTGGAGTTACGGTGCTCCACAGACACTTTACTGTGGGCATGATAAGAAGTCTGTGGCAGCACCGAGTATAAATGTGGCCCGCCAGCATGAGTGAGGGGCCCGGCATGTTTTTCCTGATTTTGTTTTCCGAGTCCCTCCAGGTGGGCCTGGAAGGTAGAGATCTGTTGTTCCAGAGAGGTGAAATTCTCCTGCACCTTGTCAAACTGAACGAAGAGACATGTTTTTATTCCTGGTGCGTTTTTAAACCTTGTTAAAGCTGTTTGTCTCAAGTTTAGTGTACCTGCTCAATATTAGACTGAAGCAAGAGCTCTGGCCAAACTGACTCACTGCTGCTGTTCACGCTGTTGCTCATGTGGGTGTGACTCCAGGTTAACTCCTGTGGAACAGGGCATTAGATTTCTGAGTGAATACAACAATAACAGAAATAACATATTCTTTTTGTCTTTCTTGAGGAGTTTACCTGCAGTAGTTGTGTGCTGCCCTTCAAATGAACCTGACAAGACTGAAGTTTGTTCCTGTAGTCACCCAAGACCGACAACAAATTCTACGGCAAACACACAATATCATGAACAACACTCAAAGGCAAGGGAAACAGCAATGTTAACAACAGCTGTTAAAATAAAAACTTCAAAGTGAAAATAAAAAAGTAAACTATACTACAGTTTGCTAACTGGTTTCCACATGTCTTTACCTGTGTGTCTCTCTGAGCAGAGGCCAGATCTCTGTGGCCTTGGGTCTCCTGTTTGAAGAGTGTGACCCCAGTATGCAGCTCCTCCAGCTGAGCCCAGAGGTCGTCTAAGCCCTGCAGCATGTTCTTCACACTGGCCTCAAAGTCCCCCTGCACCTGGACAAGAGTGCGCAGGGACACTCTCCTGTCAGACAGAAAAAGAGTGTCTCATAAATGCAACTAAACTATGGCTCCATGGAAGCAGATGGTTGGTACACTAGCAGCTCACCTCTGCTGCAGGTAGGTGTGGAGGAGTTTCAGTTTCTCTGTCACTACAGAGCTTTGGTCCACCTCATCCAGTCCCACCTCTGATCCCACATCAGTCACCTCCAGTGTGTGAGACACTGACTAACATGAAACAGAGAGGATTCACAGGCTGATTCTTAGTATTATGGGTTTGTTTTGTCAAGAACGATAGACAGGGGAGGCAGAAAGAGACAGAACATTAAATTCTTTTCTCATTCCAGTCTACTTAATTCAGAGCAGGACTGACAGGAGCTCAGTGATGGCATGTGTTGCCTGCGGTTAGAATATGTATGTATTCCTGAGTGGAGGGTCTGATCTATATTACGAACAAAGACTTTACACTGCTCTAAATGCATAACGCAACTGAAAACACAGGAGATGAAAAGTATGGCTCGAGGCAAGTGTGTGTGTGTGTGTGTGTGTGTGTGTGTGTGTGTGTGTGTGTGTGTGTGTGTGAGAGAGAGAGAGAGAGAGAGAGAGAGAGAGAGAGAGAAAGAGTCATCAGGGTGGGGTGGGGTGCATTTTTTTTCCTTAAGTTGGTTTTGTTTTACCTCCAGTCTGGAGAGAAGAGCCTGAATATGGGGCACATTGGGGTCTGGCAGAGGTTCCTGCAGCACACACAGCAGCAGGCTGTCAGCCAGGGCAAGAATCAGATTAATATTCACACCTGGGTTTCTTGCCTGGTACATCCTGAAGAAAAGAGCAAAAAATTTTACACTACATGCAACACAATCTTTGGGTAATTTATTAGAAAACTGTTGCCAAAAAAAAAAAAAAAAAAACATTCATACCAACTGAAGACGATATAAGTGTGACAATAATAAAGCCTCACCGTAAACACTGGTCATTCCTGATTTCAGTCACAATCTCCTGTTCAGTCCCTGGAGGCTCTCCCTGGAATTGAGAAAAAGTCAGTGAATAAATATCACAAAAATAAAAACACAAACAAGTCCATGAGGCTGTGCTCACCTGGCTCTGTCCTGGCTGCAGGCAGCACTTCAGGGCATGGATGCAACCTCCCAGAGAAATCAACAGAAGGCACACAAAGAGTAGCCTCCAGCACACATCCACTATCAGTACAGAAGGGTGCGGCAGTGCCTCCACTTGGCAGACTGACCAAACTACAAAAACTGGAGTAAAGCCATACCAGGCTCCCAACGTGCCCACAATCTGGGACCACGGTGTGTGCTGGGACTGAGCAACAACTTGTGTTTGAGCTGAACTGTAGGTAAAGCAAACAAAACCAAGACAGTGTGAGATCAAGGTTACCTAATAATTAAAAACACTATTAAATGGTTGCTAAATGGGAAGGACAAGGGAAAGTTCTTTCAGGCCAGCACAAATTTTACGCAGACAAAAATTCCCTTTAATAAACATTAAAGTTTGATCATCGCTTGCTGCATAATGACTGGAATTTACAAAGTCTTGTTTTTAAAACAGCACAAATAGTGATGGAACATTACAAATAATGGTATCCTTGAAATCCTCCAAATTCACAATAACAGACCAGCTGTATTTCCAGTTGTGTCAAAGAGGCTAACGCTTAAAATAGCAGTATACTAATTTATAATTACTTCAGATCTTTTACCTCGTGTGTAATGGTAAGTTCTAAGACATGACCACCACAGAAGACTTTGGCTTTAAAACTTGCTGTAAAGCAATTACTACACTGACATATCCTTCCTTTAGCACCACACAATCAGTGTACTGAAGAACTCAAATCAAAGGCTAGTAGCTGAAAGATAGTGATCTTCCTACCTCTGCAGGTTTCGGCTCCTTTCTTCACGTTCTCCCTTCCCGACTTCCTTTACCCGCTCCATCCATTTACAGGCCCACACCCAGCTTACCCCGTCTGCCTTTCCTGAAACCCCTTGCTTTTTGAGGTAGCTGACTGTTAAACAAGGCATAGGAGCAACACAGACACAGTCATTCTGGCTAAAAATAACAGCAGGTTGTGTAGATGTACTTGTGTTGAGAAAGTGATTAACACGTGAACAAGCATGATAAACTGGTTTAACTGGAAGAATTGTTTTAGTTGGGTAGTGGCATTTTCCTTTCCTTGCATTCCATCCATCTGGAATGTGCTTAACATACCGATCACCATTGTACAAAGGACAAGCCCAGTTCCACCTATTTACTCCAGGAGCAGGCAACAAGCCCTCCAAATGTCACGACTTTCTGTATGAATCACAAACTCAATGACCAGTTCCAATCTGTGCAACAAACAATCCAAGTTATTTTTGCAAGATTGAGCTTTACAAATGAAACAGAGCACATGTTCAATAAGTAATCCCCATGTATAAATCAGATTAGTAAGCACTGTCTGTTTAAGTTGTAATAATCAATCCTCTCAGCCTGGCTGGGGGGCTCCTTTGCCTCCCTCCTGCTGTGTGCCCAGCCTGGAGGCTGCTGTCTGTGACCGGCTCCCGGTGCAGACGGCTCCCTGTTATAGTGTTTCCTCACTTGGCTCATGCGAGTCCAGCCCAATTTTTACTCTTTTTACTCTTTAAGTGTGCGCGTGTGTGTATGTGTGTGTGGGTGGGGGTGGGGGGATATATGTGTATTGAGAGTGTGGGGAGTGAGTTGGAGGGTGGGGTGGGCTGCTTTTAACTATGTAAAGCACTTTGTGCTACATTTTCTTTGTATGAAAAGTGCTTTATAAATAAAGATTGATTGATTGATTGATTGAATGAATATGAGTTTAAGTGTGTTTCTGCTCTCTTAGGTCATGCTGCCATCTAGCAGCTGTGACAGGAATAAACTTCAAACAAGATCAATTCAACCTGAAGAGGCACCAAAATAAGGCACCAATGGTTTCACGATTAGAGATTTTTAAGAAAAAATTTAAAAGATCAAACAAAATCAGCTAACAAGTAATGATAGTATGGCAAGGGCCTGAGCCTTAAAAAATAGAAAGAACACTGACAGTTTTTGCTTTTTTCTGTCACAGATTATCTCAAATAATAATTAAAATTAGCACGGTGGCACGGTGGTTAGCACTGTTGCCGCACAGCAAGAAGGTCCTGAGTTCAATTCCACCATCAGGCCGGGGTCTTTCTGTGTGGAGTTTGCATGTTCTCCCCGTGTTTGCGTGGGTTCTCTCCGGGTACTCCGGCTTCCTCCCACCGTCCAAAGACATGCAGCTTGTGGGGATAGGTTAATTGATTAATCAAATTGTCACTAGGTGTGAGTGTGAATGGTTGTCTGTCCCTATGTGTTGGCCCTGCGACAGACTGGCGACCTGTCCAGGGTGTACCCCGCCTTTTGCCCTATGACAGCTGGGATAGGCTCCAGCGACCCTGAAAAGGATAAGCGGAAGCGAATGGATGGATGGATGGATAATTAAAATTAGCAACCAAGCAATCACCAGTCTCCTGAAATTAGCTGTCAACTGACAAATACAAAGGATTATAATACATGTAGAGTTGCATACACATAACAGCATTCTGTTGCAACATAAGCAGTTTATAATTAAAGTAACACACACACCTTGAAAAACTAAACAACCACAACATAAACTCACTTTGTAAAGAAGGTGATCAGGCTTTTTCTTCTGTTTTTACAGATTTTTTTATTTTATTTTTATTTTTTTGACAGTGTGCGGGAAGGAAAATTGGATTTGGTAAGGGAGGGGGAGGGGGGGGGGGTTGGCTCGTTTGAGGGCCAGGATGTGTGGTGGCTGTTTTAATGTTGCCTTCTGTTAATGCTTTTCTTTCAGATTTTTTTCCCCCATTTCAAGGTGGACCCTTGATTTTTACGGAGGGTGTTACAATCCTTGATTGGCTGGCATGGGATGATCGTCAGTTAATTCAGGTCACCTTTGACTTACTGAAAATAAAAGCTGGCCAAGATAAGTCTTCCGTCTATCTTCCATGCCACGTGACATCTATTTATTAGTGATCATTGTGTCTTGGTTATGTTATGTTAAATAAATAATTTATATTCAAGTGTCTTTTAAGTGTAAAACAAACACATAAAGCCTTTCCTACTCTCTGTTTTGCTGCTGTCTTTTGCAGACTGATCTCTGCATTTGCAAAAACAAATGCAAGTACTAATTGCTATATTGTAATGTATTGTTTTACTGAATGTAATATTGAACAATATTACAGTGTAACCATCTTCTGGTGGCTGCTTCCACCAGTATAAGTCACAAAACTCTAATTGTCACAATCTAGTTTCTTGAAATGAAAGTGGGTTCACTGTACTGTGTGATGCTATCGTGTCAATGTGGCTCAAAATCTCTGAGGAATGTTTCTACCACCTTGTTAAATTTATCCCACAAAGAATTAAGGCAGATCTGAGTCAAAAGGGGTCCAAAAATTGTGCCTAGTAACGTGTCTGCTGAGTGTATATTTAACTGTGTTCTAATATGTGGTGTAAAAAGTCTTCATTGGATCATTTTTCAATAAGAAAGACACTAAAAATAAAGGAGGTTCTCTGGGATTTCAGAGTCAGGAGTGATGTAAGGTCTAGAGTAAAGCTCCCCATAGTTATAATACATGTCTGCAGTCTTGTTCAAGGTTTCCAGGTTATTTCAAGATTATTTAAAGTCTAACAGCAACTGTATCTCCAAGAACATTGCATTATAAAACCAAACATCATTTAGGTATGAACTGTGTGTCAGTTACGACAATTACAACTGGCATCTAATGTCAATAGAGTATCTTCAAAGAATGGAACAGTTTGTATTTACTTTACTAAACAGAGGTATGGTAACAAAGACAAATAATGTGAAATGACTCACTGGAAATTTCTGATTATCAAGTCAGTCCAGACTGTAAAAATAAAAACAACCACATAGCAAACAGTTCAACAGAGTAAAATCATACCAGACATGAGCAACAATATTCTAGGATAACAGATAACATGTAACAAATGTGTTAGGACCATGACCCATTTCTGACATTTTGGAATATTTATTCCATATTCTCTTTTTTTATTTATTTATTTTTTTCTTACAAATACTTTAAGGAATGTGTGCAAAATTACAGATATGCAAAATGGGATATCAAATCTGTAGAAGCTTCCCATCACTTCAATAACTCAAGTATTAGCAGTTTCAATCCCAGTATCTTTTTTTAAAACATGTATTTAGGTTAGGGTTTTTTTTTTTAATTTATAATCTGTCCAAAATAAAAGCATCACATTTTTTACTGTCGACTGACTTTATTTTTCTCATAAAGTTCTGGCAGCTTGCAACACAACATTTAACACTTTACAGACACATAAAACTGTGTTGATGCATTTCATCTCTGTATATACACACGTGACAGTGGCAGGATCACATGACAAGGTATTTGTTTATTCATGTGCGTACAAGCTGCTGTGGACAACATGCAGGATTAGTCCGTGAGTCTGCACTGGCTTTGCAAAGTAACATCACTGCACAGTTCAGGGCTTCGTGATGTGAACTTCACTGGTGCCACTACCATTTGTGGTTGTGGTGATGATGTACTGTGTGGTAGCTTGCTGATTCGTCGGCTGCTGCTCCAGTGGTTCGGTGTGTGTCTGGGTTGTGCTCTGAGGAAGAGTCTGTTTCGTCTCAAGCTCAGTCTGACCCTCAGAGATCACGTAGTGTGTCTGTTGGGATGATAACATTTCAAGTTATACAATAAATCTTTTTTCTTTTTCCTTTGACTAGGAAAAAGCAGGTTTCAAGTTTCCGCCTCCTATTTTTACCGCATATTTACGTAATCCAGCTTTTAACTGTAAATTATGAAGCATCATCTACTGTTAAGCAACACTTTCAAGTATGGAGCACTGAATATAAAAACATGTGCTCATTGTGTAGTACAAAGCCAAATTCAACTGTCATTTTCATCTAACAAATATCAAATTCACTCACCGTTTTCACCTGGTTGCTGCTGACTCCAGATACAGGAGTGCTAGCCTCAGCTATCACATACTGTGCATGAGGTAGTGTCATCATCTGGATTTCAGACGCTGGAAGAACAGGAATATATGATTTTGACTGGTAATCACAGAGCACAGAAGCATCAAAACATACGGCACGTGACTGGTTATGGTACTTACAGTAGCCTCGGTAGTTCCAGTTTCCCGGAATGTAAGCGTGCTGCACCGTCCCCTGCTGCTGGGGGCTGCTTGTCTGGAGGGTGTGGCTCTGGGCTAAAGTGACAGGAGTCAGTTGGGCAGGGCTCAACTCCTGACTAGTCTGCTGGGAGGTGGGGCTGAGGGGCTGACCAGTAACCTGAAAATCAGAAAAAGAGATTCGCGATTAACATTATGGTGCTTACAGGGTTTCGCTAACATGCAGAAAGAAACCTTATTACCCAAATACACTTAAGTTTCAAAACGACTGTTTTAAATGAGTCCTCAAATACAATAACTAATTACTCTAGCTTAAAATTATCCCCAGAGGCAGTGTGGGTTCACCTGGGTGGCACCTTGTCCAGAGCTTGAGGGCTCAGTAACCTGAATGTGTTGCACCTGGATTGGGTGCTGACTGTAACCATGAGGGTCGTGTAGCTGGTTCACATCTACTGTCGGGTGCTGGGAATGTGGGGAAGAAGCCTGGAAAACAGATAATATTACTTATACATAACTGATACATAGCAAACACTGTAACTATTTTGCTTGCATAGTTTCACACACAAAGACTGAAAGGTTCTTTAGAAGCAAAAACTACAACTAAAAGCAGCAATTTTCCAGAATTTTCACAGTAGCTGGTAGTTTTGCAGCTCTAATTACAAACTCAAAAACCACAAAGAAAGTAACAAAAGCTTCAAAATTGCTAGTTTGAACCCTTAAATCAACAAGGTCAACTTAATTAGATAATGAGAGAAAATTCTTCTTTTGATCAGGTAACCATATATAAGCCTCATTTCTGGAACTAGACATGAGTTTACACCAGCATGTTGGCAGTTTATGGAACACCTGCATTCTTTTAGGCAGCATCCTATCGAGATTATCAGCTTCCTAAGCATCTATGAA